AGAAGAAGAGCGTGTAGAACGCCAAGAAACTGAGCCGGAGCCAAGGCTGAAGGTGTAACCCTGAGACGACCGCTGAGTAGCCTGGTCGTCCGCCCAAGAAGCGTCTGAGTGTCCAGTAAGTACAACTCGGTCTCGCCCTCCAAGCACTAGCCCCATGCCCGACGTACTGCACAAGTAGCGCAACACCCTCTTAGCGGCATCCATGTGCTCCTTCCTGTGACGGCCAGGAGCGACATAGCGTGCAAGGATGCTAAGAGGGTATGCAAGGTCAGGTCGAGTGCAGGTCATCAGGTACATGAGGCAGCCCACAAGCTCTGGGTACGGGCCACTCGACTCTACGGACTCATCCGAAGGCAGAGCTGAGAGCGAGTGACCGGTAGCCATAGGAGTGGACTGAGGCGAGGAGTACGTGAAGCGGAAGCGCTGGAGAACCTGCTGCACCATGTGCGACTGAGTCAGGGTGATGGTGCGCCGTGCTCTGTCCCGGGTGATCCGCAAGCCAAGATAGCTTGTCAGTTCACCCAGGTCTGTGCACGTGTGTCTCCTCTGCAGCTCCGACTTCACGTGGGCGAGTGCCGCGGTGTCAGCAGTGGCAAAGACCAAGTCGTCGACGTACACGAGGATGTAGAACGGCGGCAGCGAGGTGTCTGTGCGTAGAAACAGTGACGGGTCAGCAGTAGAGGGAGCGAACCCAAGAGCCGCAAGTGTCGTCCTCAGTGTGTCGTGCCACTCACGCGGTGCCTGGCGGAGACCGTAGACCGGCCGCTGGAGCCTCCACTGGGTACCAGGAGGAACCGACCCAGTGAAGCCAGGTGGGCGGCGCAGCCAGATCTCCTCGTGCAGGCTGCCCTGCAAGAAAGCAGTGCTGAAGTCAAGTGAGTGAAGCTCGTAGTCGCGCTGAGCGGCTATGTGCAGCAGCACCCGAAGAGTGGTCATCTTCGGGGTGGGGGAGAAGGTCTGGAAGAAGTCAACTCCCTCTCGCTGACTGAAGCCTCAAGCCACGTAGCGCGCCTTGAAGACAGGAGGAGAACCCGGTGTTCGCTTCACCCTGAAAATCCACATGCCACTGACGATGTTCGCCCCAGGTGGGGGAACCTCGTCGACGTAGGTGCGTGTGGACTTCCAGGAAGCCATCTCTGCGTCCATGGCTGTCTGCCACTAAGAGGAGTAGGGACCCGCCATCGCCTCAGCGTAAGTGCGCGGGGTCGGGATGTCTGGTGCATCCGGGTCTCCCTCAGGGGCAACTAGCATGGACACGAGGTGGGGTAAAGCAGCAGCAAAGCACTGGAACTCCTCCTGTCTGTCCTCAAGGACGTCCGTGCCAAGAGCACACTCACCCCCGACGGACGGAGGACAGACAGACTCAGACTCAGACTCAGCAACAAGGCTAGTGGCGTAGTCTAGACGACACCGGGCAGCAAAGTCTATCAACTCAGCGACCAGAGCAGACGCAGCAGAGGACTCAAAGGTAGGGTCAGTGACAACAGTAGCGAGGAGACGGGTGACAGTGGGACTGGCAGCACGACGGGAGTCAGACTCCGGGTCAGGAAGAGTAGGTAGAGAGGACGCAGGAGGAGACGGCAGAGGGACACGCTGAGGAGCAGTAGAGCGACGCAGAGTCATGTAATGAGTGCCAGGGACAGGAGGAGGACGCTGGCGTGGGACACGACGACCAGTGCACGCAGTACGAACAGGCGACGCAGGACGAGACTCAGGCTCACGACGCTCTGTAAGACCTCCTGTGGGACCAGCGTAAGGAGAGGGAGCAGGGAGAGGCGAGTCAGGCGGTAACTGTGACTGCGGCTGGACAGGCGGAGGACACTCTACGGAGGGAGGAGGACAAGGAGGAGGAGCCTGACCAAGAACCTGCTGAAGAAGTGGGACGAAGTACGGTCGCGGCCGCGCAGCATCTCCAGAACCAGCAGAGACACCAGCGGCAGGGTCCGCAGCACCAGCAGCAGCTCCAACGTCCGGGTCCTCAGCACCAGCAGCAGCTCCACCGGCCGGGTCCTCAGCACCAGCAGCAGCACCACCGCTCGGGTCCTCAGCTCCAGCAGTAGCTCCAACGTCCGAGTCCTCAGCACCAGCAGCAGCTCCACCGGCCGGGTCCTCAGCACCAGCAGCAGCACCACAAATATGAAACCCTAATGTTGTGACCCCCTATAGGCTACCCCACTATAGCCTACACAAATATAACATGTATAATGTTTGACACGACAGTCGCGTATGGGGCGATAAAGGGCGACTGCAGGCGCTGCTGGCGTCTCACAGCGTCCATCCCGTCACACCGCCTCCCCCGATGTCCGCCACGCCCACGACCTCCCCCCGCAGCAGGAGCGCGCACGGCAGCAGCAAGTGCGACAGTTGCAGCAAGACCGGCGGGAGGGTGGGCGGGGACAGTTGCTCGGACACGACGAGCGGGACAGAGGGCCGTAACGGAGGCGCGACGAAGCTGCGACGGGGCAGCGTGGCCGCGAACGACGGGGCGACGAGGCAGCGCGACGAGTAGAGCGCCACCTTCGCCCCGTCGATCGCGCTGACGATCAGGACCGTCGCGGATTTCGACGCGACGGTCATTGTGGCGGCACGATTGCAGCAGAAACTCGTCGGGAGGGAGGGCCGCCATGCTAGGGTCGAAAAGCGGTGGGCCCGTTGATCGGAAACTAGCTCGATACCATGTTGTAAGAGTATCTTAGGCAAGATAGTAGGAACCCTAGGTATGGCGAGAGTTAGGAACGAGAGTCGAGAGAGAAGGCCAAAAGAGGATGATTCAATATTGAGCGAGGGTACAAATAGGAGAGAACAAACAAGAAAGGTGCACCACCAAATAGGAAAACGTTATAACTACAGTATTCTACACTACAGGCAGTTATAGAACAATATATAGAATTATATATTATTCTGACAAGAAGAACCATTTGAAACGAAGCTCGTTGCCATTGCAAACACAAGAAAGCAAGCTTTCTAAATATTTCATATTTATAGGGCGAATACGTGCTAGGCGAGAACCTCGTGAGTGCGTTGCTCGGAAATGTCGCGATTGGTGCAGGGCGAACCGAAATTGGTTTGGTGCGAAAGTGTAGGCCGAGCCACACTGACGCGAAGTGCTCGGGCTGTCCTCGCTAGGAGCAGCCTCTACAGTAATGAATTGTGTATTCATTACATAGAGCTTGCTCAATTGCACAACATCCAAGTTATGAACACCGAAATGTTTTGTGTAGTCAAATTCCTTCCCTCGTGTATCCAAGCCGCTTCTGTGGAAATCGCGGTTCGTGCGGGACAGACCAACATGAATTCGCGGGTTCGCCGAATGTCCACCAATGTTCAACATTTTGCCCAAACCTACGCCAAGCCAAGGCAAGCACGGAGGGAATCTCTCCCAAAACCTAACCAACAACGGCTCTAACCACCGACACTCTCTCCAACCAAACCAAAACCTGCTGTGTGTACCACCACAATAGCAGTCACAACACATACAGAAAGGATGCTTCCGCCACCAACAGAAAGCAATCCACAACTGAACCCTGAGCTCATCTTTGCACTCCCTTGGAAGTACCGTTTTCTTCGCGATTTGCGCTTGCGGTCCCAACATCCCAGCAAGTCAAAGTCGAGTCCCAACATCAGCACTGTCACCGCCGCAACAGCGGACTTCGGATTCTCCGTTTCTGCCCTCCACAGCCCTCGTGTCTGAACATTTCCCGCGTGACATCCCCCAGTTCCTCTGCAACGTTGCTCGTTTGATTCATACCCAGCGGGTCGCTAGCTAAAAGGAATAGCGTAGGCAGCGAGCACCGCCAGCGGTGGCTTACCTTGCGGCTCTAGACGGGCATCGCAACTCGTTCTCACAGAAGCCGTTTGCGCACGCGATGGGTCAGAAACGCGGAAATTAGTGCCATGAGACATCATTGGCGGCTTCCATTTACTGTGGGGTCTCCGCGACATCGACCGGAGCACTTGATTCGTGCCCAGCTCTCGCCTACTCCACGCGCATCTCGCGCGTCTAGGTGGCCAATCCCAGATTTTACACGCGTGAGCTGATCGTCAAGTTTCGTCCGCCAGCACCGCCACTGATTCGAGCCGCCGTAGTAGTAGCTGCTTGCAATGTCGCTTCCACCCAGCGTGCGCTGTGCCCTGGTAGCAGTGTTGCTGCTGCACCTCTCTATCTACCGCTCTCTCGCCCAGAACCCACCCTCGCCACCGACCACGGCAGGCAGGCAGCTCGCCGCTGTCAAGCAGCAGCCGCAGGCGCCGGGCGGGGTGACCAGCACGAGCCTCGTTCTTCTGCCCAACAACGCGCTGGGCGCGAAATGCCTCGACGGCAGGTGAGAGCCGGTGCGAGAGGTGACGTTCGGGAACGGGAGGGCGGCGCTACTGATACCTGGAATGGCGAGCAGGCTCTGTCTGGTTTGACTGTCGGCGCGAACCCTACAGAAAGTGCCGCACGCTCATTCGGAAGTAACGGTTTCGAAACTCTTGCTACCCCCCAAATCCGCTGCTCTCCCCGCAGTCCCCCGGGGTACTACTTCCGCCCGGGCTTTGGCGCGGGGAAGCGCTCTTGGCACATATTCCTGCCCGCGGGGGGGTGGTGCACCACGCTCGCGGACTGCGCTCTGCGCGCCACTCGTCCGCTGGGCTCCACGCGCTATTGGGCACGCCTCAACGGCTCCGCCGCCCCTCCTTCCGCAGTCCCTACCCCCCCCTCACCTCCGTCTACCACCCCCTCGCGTCCCCCCTTCCTCTTCCCCACGCCGTCGTCGCCGTCCTCGTCGTTCGACGACAGCGACGACTCGCAGGTCAGTCCCGCCACGCCTTCGCACAGCACCTGCTATCTCGTGCGACCCTCACAACCCCCCACTCCTCACCCGCACACAGGGGCTTGTACCTGCCCCTGCACCGACCTTTTCCCTACATCCCACAGCCCTAACATCGTCACATGTGGGAGAAAAAAAAAAATTCCCATACAGTCCAAGAGGTCTGCCAGAATTATGTCCCGGACATCAATGCTTTTCCGTCTATCATGTGGATTCTTTCGCCGTTCCGAGATTGTTAGAGGCTTTGCTGCCGTGTTTGTCAAGGCAAGGGCACCGCTTGGCGCAGCACCACTGGCCACGCGTTCCATGCACGCTTTCGTTGTTCGCTGCCATCCGCGCTCTTCTCCCCATTCCCTGTCTTCTTTTCTCCCCCTCGACTCCACCACTTCACGATACGTCTTCTCGTCCCTGCGTGTCCCCGTTCCTTTCATTCCGCGCCGTGCGCCATTGTGCGCTGTGCAGAGCGCGACACCTCTGCGCGCCGTGCCAGGGTTCAGCGGCATGCTGAGCAGCAGCGAGGAGGCGAACCCGGGGCTATTCAACTGGAACCTCGCCATGCCCATCTACTGCGACGGGGGCGGCTACGCTGGCACCGCTGGCCGCGTGCAGCTGCCAGGGAAAGGAAATAACTCCATTTACCTCGATGGTTACAATGTTACACGGACCATTCTTGCAGGTCGGTTTCCCGTCTCTCCACTTCGTCTTCATACTTGGCAAAGCAGTTTCACGTTCCACGTGACAGTTTCACTCTCTGCTGCCATGCAGTCATCTCTCTGCCAATTCCACCCTCGTTGCCCACACTGTATGTCCATCTGACTCTCCTTGTCTTCCTTGGCAGCCCCTAACGTCGTGAGTAGCGCCAATGGAAGCACTGCCGATAGAGCTTGTGTTGCCTCAGCGTCAACCTTCCAGCCTTACCAGCTACCACGCTTCCCACAACCAGCAGGGTGACAGCGGTCTGACAGACAGGCCACTGGGGTGCAAGCAGCATGTCAGCCGTGCTGCTCACTACTGCTGCCCCCTCCGCCGCCCGTCCCTTGGCGTGCAGATCTCCTGGCAGTGCGTGGGCTGGCGTCTGCACGTCGTGTGCTGGTGGCGGGGGCATCAGCGGGAGGGCAGGCTGTGACAGCGTGGTGCGAGCGAGTGGCAGCCATGGTGCCTGGCGCCGTCACCAAGTGCCTCGTGGACTCGGGAATATTCCTGGGTGAGTCACATAGGAATAGGAGTCTGTGAAGCGTACAGGGACGAGACTATATAAGTGCTGGCAGAATGCACGAGGCGAGTCTCCTTGAGCACAGTATCACCTGCTTGGATGGCCGTTGACTGCTGGTTGCGAGTTGTGAATGTCAACTAACATAAGGGATGGCCCATATGCTGTCACTGCACACGCCACTCCTTGTGTGCAGACGCCAAGGACAGGACGGGCGCATGGCACTTTCGGCAGGTAACAAAGCAGATGACAACACTGCACAGGGCCCAGGGCAACGACAAGTGCATGCAAGGTAATCTCGCACGCCTGGTCCCTTGGCCTGAGTACTTCCTTCTCCGTCGTGTTGTAATCTCAGCCGTGGTAGTTATACACACTGATTCGAATCGTCTCTTCCCAGACATCTGCAAGCTAACTGCAGTTGTTTCATTTCCAACTACTTGCAGCGGAGTGGCCATCCACCCAATGGCGCTGCTTCTTCCCTCAATATACCTTGCCGTTTATAAGCACACCTGTCTTCCTCCTCTCGCCCCTCCTTGACCACCGAGCTCTCATACTTGGCAACCAAATCCGCAACGACACCGGCTATGCCAAGCAATGCATCAGCAGCATACTGCGCAGCACAGCCAACCTCACACATGCCATGCGCTACAGTGCCCGGCGCAATGCCGTGGCAGGGAAGATAAAAGTGTGCACACCCGAGGAGACCAATGCTATCTTAGCGGCGGGCAACATGCTCCTCACTAGTGTGAAGGCCATAGTGGAAAAACAACCTACATGGGTGGCCTACATCCCAGCTTCAGCAGCACATTGCTACACCTACTTCCCATCCTATAGTGAGGTTTCTATACAACAATATTCATTAACAAACATTGTGGCGGACTGGGCCTTAGATGCACAGAAACAACTGAGATTGCAAGGCCCAATAGTATGATGCAACCAAAAACTACCATGAACGCTAGCATAGAACACGCCTTCATGTAGAATCAGTTTAAAATAATTATCTTGTGCAAATTTTAGTGTATTACCAAATTCGTCATGCAAGGTTCAAAACAGGGCCCTTTTTTCTTGGTTACCGGTATGTTACGAATAGTAATACTTGATTATTACTGTGCACTCCTCACCGCAGCAAGAGAAGCACGCAGTATCGAGAATGAACGCGAAGAGTCAGACGGTTAGGAATTGACTCGAAGCGTCAGACGGTTAAAGCGAATCTGGACCGTCGGAAGCAGACGGCATCGGGCAGCTGCAGGCAGGATGATTTAGGCGGGAACAGTTTCGTAACTGTACGCGCCGCACGGTTGGGAATGTATTTGAATAAGGAAATGGCTATTGCATGGCTAGTTAGGTAGGTCGTTTTGTATTCCCCTGTACTCTGATTAATATCGTTGCATTTGCATGTCTTTATCATCTCAAAGCATTTTAGATTCACTTTGCTATTGAGGTCAATGGCACCAACTTTATTTCTCTGCGTGCGAACCTTCCCGAGTAGATCCTAGGCACGATCAACTTCTGATCGCAGCATGGTATGAGAGCAGCTCGGGAATCCTTCGCACTGCCACTCCCGAAAATTACGACATTCGGAAAGTGGCGTCCGGCACACGCTCGCGTGTGAGAATGGCCGGAGGATCTGGTGGTCAGACCAATCTGACGGCTGAAGCGCAACCCAACCCGGCTGCGACAAGCGAGAACACGACGACGATCGGCACCGAAGTCCTCGCACAACTTCTTCAGCGACTCACCAACCTGGAGCAAGGACTCCAAACATTGCGGAACGGCGACGCGGGAACATCCTCGCAGCGTTCTCAACCGGCACCAACTGGCCAGAACGCCGCCCCGCACACATTCTCCCTCGACACCAATGGCTCAACCCCCAAGGCTCCCCGTCCCAGTGAAGAGGCAATTCTTTTTGCGCAATCAAGGTTTCTCAACATATCAAAAATAAAGACAAGTACCTGTTTTGATGGCAGGGACTTCTATACCTGGAGCTTCGAACTGGAGCTCCTGCTGCAGAACGCCCAAATCTTCCATTACTTCGACGGGAGCTACGCGGAGCCTGCTGAGGACACCGACGACGCCAGGACTCGCTACTACAACGAGTCCCTGATGGCGTACGGAATCCTCATGCGCAACATGTCGTCGAGTAGCTCAACATTCGTTCGTACAAGACATCGGCTGCTCCAGCCCTCGACGCCTGGCGCCATCTCAACGGTGTGTATCAGCCGAAGGACTCAGTCTCTTCGAGCCGGCTGCTCCAGCAGTTACTGGAGACCAAGATGACCTCAGGGGAGAAGGTCAACAGCTACATCAATCGCTGCCGGAGCCTTCGCGACCAAATCGCGAAGTTGGGAAGCTCGATTTCGGAAGAAATCTTCGTCAATATCGTGCTTCAAGGGCTCGGCCCAGAGTGGCGGCCCAAAAAGGCGCTTCTCCGACAGCAGGGGGTCATCTCGGAGGCCGCCCTTTGCGCCGCCCTTCTCGTCGAACAGAGGGATATGGATCAGCAGCGACCAGCGCCACGACGAGAACGCGAACGGCTCGCCTTCTACGCCGACAACAACGAAGAGCGACGGCCGAGGCGCCTCTACTGCAAAATCCGCAGGACCTTTGGGCACTTAGCGGATCGATGCAAATACCGATCTCGCGCTCGCCAGACCAATCCGAGCTAGTGATCCGGCCGACAAGAATCCGAGCAACTGGTCCGGCCGACAAGACGCACGAGGCGACGTGCGTCCAGCCCAGGGGTATCAGCCCCCTCCCGCGCGCACGGTTCAGCATCAGCAGCAGCAGCAGCCGTCATCGACTGCCCCAGTACGCAACGTCATGAGCAACATGGCCATGACAGGCGAGTCGCGTCGTCGCCGCGTGCGCTCACCTTCACCTGAGCCAGCACCGCACCCCATTGGCGCATTCAACAACAACAACCCGTTCAGCCCGCGCCACGACTTCACCGACGATGACAACCAGGACTGGAATCTTCCAGTCCCGCTGCTTGAAAGTCCCCCGCACGTGCCCAATATGCGGGTGGCGCCACTTGATTGGCTCTCGCGCGAGCAATTTCTGAAGTTCGACATTCTGCACATCGTCACGCCGCGATTGGCGCTGCTCGCACGTGACGACAACAAGCGCTACAACACCTGGTACCTGGACAGCATCTGCGTCCAACATATGGTGGGCTCTGAGCGTTACATATCCAACGCTATCGCCACCCCTACAGTCACCTACGTCACCGTGGCTAACAACACACGCCTTCGCGCGAGCGTGCAAGGCATCTTCGTGCTCAAAGCACACGGAAGCCACACGCACATCACACTCAACGATGTGCTGATCGTCCAGAACCTGCGCTTCAACCTGCTCTCCGCCGCACAGCTCATGGACTGCGGCGTTGACCTCAGCACGGATCGCGCGACGCGCGACATTCTGCTGCACTACGAATCGCGCACCTTTCCCCGCAGGCAGATCGGACGAGCGCACTCCGAAAATGGAGTATGTGTCTTGGATTTCGACATTCCCGACTGCAGCGGCGACTCGCACGAGTTAATTGATCTCGTGCCACTGCGCTTCGAGCACATCCACCGCAGGGACTGGAAGCACCCTGACGGCAGACCGTGGGTGCCGCATCATCCCCACCCACGCGAAACGGCGCTGCACGACCCTGACCCAGACGGCATCTGCAGGGATTGTCACACGCCGACGGCATCGACCAGCGCAATTGCAGGCCGCAGACTCGCCGCTATCGCCAAAGCAGAGCGCCATGCGCCGCCAGAAGAGGGAATGTTACAGTTGGAGCTCCAAGTCACCACTCAGCGTGTGTTCGGCACCGACCAAAGCCCCCACGCTGGACCACCCTCTCAGCGGCTCGAAGGCATTCTACGCGGACAACGCCGCGGAACTTTCGGCACACGCGGAGTCTCGCGCCCTTACACACGCAAGGAATTCTTGAAGATCTACCCCCACTAGCGCGACCCCACGGCAAAGCTTACCGTGGAACAAGAGGAAGAACTGGCGCGCCGCGAAGCAGAGGAGCTTCGCCAACAAAGCCTCGCCGAAGCGCGGGGGACATCGCCTGCGGCGCATGGGGAGCCGAGGCGGAAGAAAGCGCCTCCAATGAAGGGGGGTGGGGAAGCACTGGAGGATGGGGAACGAGCGATACCAGCGGATTGGGAGACAAAGGCGGAACCCGGGCCAACGCAAGCGGCGGATAGGGCGCCGCAACTGGCGCCGACAATAGCGGCTGGGGGACTATCCGCGAAGAACGAAGGGGGGGAGAGGATGAAGCAGAGGAAACTGATGCAACACCTGCTGTCGTTCCTCTTGGTCGTCCCCTGCGCCATATTCCACTCGCATTACCTCCTCCTGACAATCCCCCGCGTCGTGATCCATGGGACACCATCGTCTGGGGCAACGAGCCGTCAACCCCGCGTCGCACTGTCTACGGACCTGCTCCCAAGCCACGCGAACCCACCTTCGTCCCTGGAACCATGCCCGGAACCAACATTCCACTCTCTGAGATTCACGACAACGAGTTTCTGGCACTGATGCTGACCACCGCGACAGTAGAAGAAGATGCAGAGGAAGCAGCAGCAGAACCTGCTCCCGCACCTGAAGAAGACACCGAGGAAGCTCGCGCGCGATACATGCGCAATTCCAGCCTTTGCGCTGACGATGCACTCTGGCACCAGCGCCTCGGACACCCTTCACGCGCGACGCTGAAAAACTGCATCGACGCAGGCGTCTTCGCTCCTGGCGCACTCTTGCGCCCTGATGGCTCCGAAGTGAGAGGCGCGACACACCCGCGCAACTGCACCGTCTGCCCCAAAGCTGCGCTGAGCCACCAACCGTTCCCGCTGCTCGAGCCTGGGACAAATCGCTACCCCAACCAGCACAAGGTGTACAGCGATTTCCTGAACGTGGGGCACTACGGAGTCGACGACGAAATGTACACGCTTACCTTCATCGACGCTGGAACGCGCTACGTATGGGTCGCAAATGAACGTGGAATCCCGCGACAGAGCCTACAAGGTATTTCACCTCTGGCTAGCGCATGCGCAGCGGCAATCTGGGGAGAAGCTGAAAATTTGGCAATCTGACGGCGCGGCAGAATTCAGGAGCAACCAGATGCAGACTTACCTGGCGCAAAAGGGGATCGAGCACCACATTTCTCTCCCCTACGCACACCAGCAGCAGGGCGTAGCTGAGCGAACGAACCGCACGCTGATGACGAAGGTGCGCGCGCTGATGAAGCAGTCAAAAGTGCCGCCAATCTACTGGACCTACGCAATGCACCACGCCGTGCGGGTGCATAACCTGCTTTCAACCACCGCCATCACCGGCAATCTGTCCCCGCATGTCAAATGGACTGGAACTAAGGGGGACACATCGATGCTCTGCGTATGGGGTGCATGGTTCAACACCGTCCGCCGACATCAACCATCGGCAAATTCGCCAGCCGCGCGCGCTGGGGGATTCACCTCGGCATCAGCCACGAGTATAAGGCGTGGATCGTGCTGGACCTCCTCAGTCCAAAAACCGCCCACGCCCGCGACGTAATTGTCTACAAACGCCTCTTCCTCGAGCAGTTCCGCCACGACGAGCAGACGAACGCGAACCGCGTCTACGCAAATGATGGGCACAGCTATGCAACGCCCGAAGACGAAGCCGCTGCAGCAATCCTGGAGCAGGACACCAGGGGCGAATTCACATGGGAAGACCGGCGCAGCAGCGACGACGACGATTCCTCGGAAGGAGGAATGGGCGGAACAGGTGAAAGCGCCAGAGGCGCAGCACCACCAGCGCCACCTGAACCAGAGAGCGATGACGACGATGTGCAGGAAGTCATCCCGCAACGTCGCCACGACAGCACCGTCTCAGGACTGCAGCTGCTCGGGCTTCACACCGCAACCTCGAAGGCACCACGCGTCATCGAGCCACGAA